ATCCCCACTTCTACTATGGGGGCATTACTATGTTAGTTTACATTATTATACAGTTTATTAGGCTGTCAATCATAAAGATATTTGAAAAGTCTTACCAAGACAAGAGGAAGTTTTTCAAATACATATCTACAAATTGATTTATCATCACACAATGCTCCATGTAAAATGTCATGGGAGATTCTGCACAACAAAGAATCGGAAATTTTGATTCATTAGCCCACTGAAACAAGAAATAACACATATTTATAAATTGTGAATGTTTGATGAAATTGTACAGTCTAGTATATAATTATGTGATAAACTGATAATCCATGAGACATAAGTTATTACAGGTGGCATGTAGATTTAATTATGACGTCATGACTAAACTCTTGCATACTAATGAATAAATGTTTTATGTTTATTTTTTCTGGTAAATGTGTATCAAAATACCCTTGTTATTAATATGAGGCTGACATATTTGAAACAATGAACAAGAGGACCATGATAGCCCTGAAAACCTCACCTGTATAAAGAAACTTTTCACGACAAGGAACAAGTTTTAATATTGTAAACTATAAACAAAAGCAGATACAAAATCTAAATCTTAAACTGATGTCACAAAGTTTATATTTGTATCCGAAAAAATGCATGTGTATAAACATCAGTTTTTTATATATACATATAAAGAACATAAATGACCCCCACCCCGGGCGAGGCCAATTTTGACCCCAGGGCTTTTATTTGAACAAACTTGATAGACACTCACTAGAAGATGTTTTATGCCAAATATCTAAGCTCTACCTCTTTGGGTTTTTTAACACTCATCAAAAAATGTTTCATCCTTAAAATCTATTTAGCTTGAACGCCTTGGGTTTTTTAAAAGAAGATTTTTTAAAATTTTCAATTATAATACACATTAAATTTTATTTGAACAAACTTAAAAGACACTGACTAGAATATGTTTTATGCTTAGTATCTAAACTCTAGCTCTGGGTTTTTTAAAAGAAGATTTTTTAAGTTTTTACTATACACCATACAGGGAAAAACAATGACCCACCCTCCCTAATTTTGACCCCAGTGCTTTTATTTGAACAAACTTGGTAGACACTTAGTAGAAGATGTTTCATGCTTAGTGAAGCTAAAAGTTTTTAGGCAAATCAATGTATCCCAGGGGCAGGGCCAATTTTAACCCCAGGGCTTTTATTTGAACAAACTTGGTAGACACCCATAAGAAGATGTTTCATGCTAAATATCTTAGCTCAAGCTCTTTGAGTTCTTTAAAAGAAGATTTTTTACAGTTTTTACTATATGCATATAGGGAAAATCAGAGACCCCCTGAGGTGGGGCCAATTTTGACCCAAAGGCTTTTAATTGAACAAACTTGGTAGACACTCATTACAAGATGTTTCATGCTAAATATCTTAGCTCTAGCTCTTTGGGTTTTTTAGAAGAAGATATTTAAAGTTTTTTCTTTTGGTTGCCATGGCAACCAGAGTTCTGCATGGAATTAAATTCTTTGAACAATTTTTTAAGGTGACCACCAAAGGAACATTCCTGTGAAGTTTGGATGAAATTGGCTTAGTGGTTTATGAGGAGATGTTATTTAAAGTAAAAGTTTACGGACGCCGGACGGATGCCGGACAAAAAGCGATCACAAAAGCTCACCCTGTCACAAAGTGACAGGTGAGCTAACAATTCTGACTTTACCATCGCAAACACACAAATAAACAGGAGGCACTCCAAAGGGTTGTAAATGTCCAAGGATGAAGACATGTCATTTAGTAACAAGAGCTGTATATAGGCCCCCAGAGTGGGGCCAGTTTAAACCTCAGGGCTTTTTTTTTAACAAACTTGGTCGACACCCATTTGAAGATGTTTCATGCTAAACATAAAGGTCTAACACGTTGAGTTTTTAAAAAAAAAAATTAAGTTTTAACTATACACATATAGTTAAAAGAAATGGAACCCCTAGGGCAGGTCCAGTTTTGACCCCAGGGCTTTTATTTGAACAAACTTTGAAGACATTCACTAGAAGATGTTTCATGTTTAATATCTAAACTCTAGCTATTTGTTTTTTTTTCAAAGAGGATTTTTAAGTTTTTGCTATACACATATAAGGAAAATTAATGTCCCCCGGGGAAGGGCCAATTTTGACCCTAAGGCTTTTATTTGAACAAACTTTGAAGACACTAACTGGAAGATGTTTCATGCTTAATGTCTAAACTTTAGCTATTTGGATTTTTTTAAAGAAGAATTTTTAAGTTTTTGCTATACACATAAATAAAATCAATGACCCCCTGGGCGGGGCCAATTTTGACCCCAGGGCTTTTATTTGAACAAACTTTGTAGACACTAACTAGAAGATGTTTCATGCTTAGTATCTAAACTCTAGCTATTTGGATTTTTTCAAAGAAGATTTTTTTTAAAGTTTTTGAAATACACATTTAAGGAAAATTAATGACCCCCGGTGCAGGGCCAATTTTGACCCCAGGGCTCTTATTTAAACAAGTTTGGTAGACACCCATTAGAAGATGTTTCATGCTTAATATCTTAGCTCTAGCTCTATGGGTTCTTTAAAAGAAGATTTTTTAAGCTTTTACTATATGCATATAGGGAAAATCAATGACCCCCGGGGCGGGGCCAATTTTGACCCCAGGGCTTTTACTTGAACAAACTTGATAGATACTCATTAAAAGATGTTTCGTGCTTAATAACTTAGCTCTAGCTCTTTAGGTTCTTTAAAAGAAGATTTTATAAGTTTTTACTATATGCATATAGGGAAAATCAATGACCCCAAGGGGCCGAGCCAATTTTGACCCCAGGGGTTTTATTTGAACAAACTTGATAGACACTCACTAGAAGATGTTTTATGCCAAATATCTAAGCTTTACCTCTTTGGGTTTTTTAAAAGAAGATATTTTAAGTTTTTTTCTATTGGTTGCCATGGCAACCAGAGTTCTGCATGGAATTAAATTCTTTGAACAATTTTTGAAGGTGACCACCAAAGGAACATTCCTGTGAAGTTTGGATGAAATTGGCTCATCGGTTTATGAGGAGATGTCATTTAAAGTAAAAGTTTACGGACGACGGACGGAGGGACGGACGCCGGACGGACGCCGGACGAAAAGCGATCACAAAAGCTCACCCTGTCACTTTGTGACAGGTGACCTAAAAAATTATTTTCAAGTTAATAAAAAGTACATTTTTTTCAAATCCATGTTACAGGTAGCATGAATACAGGTAGAGACTTTGGAGAGTGACCTCAATTATGCTCTCAAACAAGTGTATAAAGTTTCAACTTAAAGTCAGTTCGCAAACATTTATGTAAAATGAAAATGTCAAAGAGAGGCAAAATTCTGTCAAAATGCTTAATAGAGTTACCTCCTCCTGTCTACAGTCTGGGGGCATGATGGTGAATAAGTGTGCAAAGCCATATATCAATACACTTTGAAATTATTTGTGGTGGTACGCAACCTTAAACATAAATTCTGAGTAAAAAAAGGGGCATATTCTGTCAAAATGCTTGATAAAGTCAGTAACCTCCTCCTGTCTACAGGTTGTGGTCATGATGGTGTATAAGTGTGCAAAGTAATAAAGCCACATGTCAAAGGACTTTCTTAATAATTGAGGTGTTACACAAACTTAAACATAAATTCTAAGTCGAAAAAGGGGCATAATTCTGTCAAAATGCTTGATAGAGTTACCTCCTCCTGTCTGCAGGTTGTGGTCATGATGGTAAATAAGTGTGCAAAGTAATAAAGCCATATGTCAATGGACTTTGAATATATTGGGGGAGTTATGCAAACTAAAGCATACATTCTAAGTCGAAAAAGGGGTATAATTCTGTCAAAATGCTTAATAGAGTTACCTCCACCTGTCTACAGATTGGGGGTGGGGGTGGTTGTGATGGTGAATAAGTGTGCAAAGTAACAAACCATATGTCATTGGACTTTGAAAATATTTGAAGTGGTACGTCGCAAACTTAAACATAAATTCTAAGTCAAAAAGGGGCATAATTCTGTCAAAAAGCTTGATAGAGTTACCTCCTCCTGTCTACATGTTGCGGTCATTATGGTGAATAAGTGTGCTAAGTATTAAAGCCATATGTCAATGGACTTTGAATATATTTGGGGTGGTACGCAAACTAAAGCATAAATTCTAAGTCTAAAAAGGGGCATAATTTTCTCAAAAATCTTGATAGAGTCACCTCCACATGTTAAGGGGCATGATGGTGAATAAGTGTGCTAAGTATTAAAGCCATATGTCAATGGACTTTGAACATATTGGGGGGTGGTACGCAAATTAAAGCATAAATTTTAAGTCGTAAAAGGGGCATAATTCTGTCAAAATGCTTAATAGAGTTACCTCCACCTGTCTACAGATTGGGGGGGGGGTGATGATAGTGAATAAGTGTACAAAGTAACAAAGCTATATGTCAATGGACTTTGAACATATTAGAGATGGTAGTTATATAACAATTGTTAATATATTCATGTGTCAACAATAACTAAGTTAATGTAAAGTTTTATTTTAATTAAAAAATAAAAAAAATATGGAAAAATATTAAAACTAGATTTTTTTTATTATATATTAAGTTTTTTTATTTAATTTAAATAAAATCTTATTACATAATTCAATTAGAATAATCTATTTCAATATGTTTGTGTGTTTAATGAAATAATATAAAAAATAAAAAAATCAATATAAAATCTCTTACCTGTAAAATATTTCCAAATCCTAATTCCAAGTAATCCATTAAATTCCGATAAAAAAAACTTCCTTGAATTATTTCTCCTCTTAAAATTGTTTTTATTTATTTATTTATAAACAACTGTCACTTAATTAAACTTTAAACTGAAATAAATGTTTGTAAATTAAATGACCAAAATATACAGTACATGTATACAGTAACGTTGAGAAAACCGCCATTTTGTTTTCTAAGTGTCCATTTTTAAATTGTTTTCATTTGAATTTATTGAAGTAATTTCATCAGTTTATGTTACAATGTTTTCCTTTGTTTATTCTTTACTTGGTTTTATTGTTTTGAACTCAATCCCACACCAGTCGTAGTCTTGTATCACATGAAAAGTTTGTGATCTCAATATATTTTCTCTAACACGGTCATATTCTGTTCTCGGTTTAATGTCTCTCATCTCTACTGTAACTGACTGCGGCAGATTTTCCAGCACGGTAATAAAGTTCTGTAAACTTTCTGCAGACATTTCTATCCCCGTCAACTCCACACGTTCAATATTCAACATGTCACGTGACAGTAACAATGAACTTTCACCATCTAGATTGATGAACGACAACGTAACATCAACTAATGACGGTGTTGTTATATTTAATTGTAGCCTCCCAGGTAAATACTGCAAGTGTAACTTTGATAGAGTTGAATGTTGAGACAAGTCCAAGTTCCATCTCTTACAATCATGGCGGCGGTACTTGTGTTCTTTACAGTGTAACTCCCTCAATGTTAACTCTTTCATTGATTTTTGACGGGAGATAAAATTGTAAAATGTTTCCAGTATTTTGTGAGATAACGTGAAGCCGCCAATATATAAATATTGTAATTTTTGTACTCGCGCTAAATTTTTACTCACATTTTCTACATCATCTGTCCATGTACCATACAACAAAGTAACGTACTGTAAACTGGGAAACAAAATCCGGGTTATCTCAGCCTCCTGCCTGCTGCCACCATAATAGTAAAGTTTCTGTATATGACTGAAGTCTGTGAGAGAGAATAAATCTATAATTTCACGTAAACTGTTTTTTATATAAAGTGATTTTATGTTGGTTTTATTTTGTTTTGACAAACGTTGTAACCGCTTACTGTGCACGTTGCGATGGTGAATGAAGAAATCTTGTAAACATAATTGAATATTTTCACTTTCAGGCATTATTTGTAAACACGACATAAACATTTCCTGTATGTTATACAATGAGGTACTGTAATCTGTCCTAGTTCTATAGTTGCGTGTTTTCTCGTCTTTATTTATCACAGACATCAAACCATTTGATATTTCACACATCCGGTCAGCATTCATTCCACTTATAAATTCACAAATTTTTGACATGTCCAGAATATCTTGAACATTTCTACATTTTTCTACAACAGTTTTCTGAGCGTCACTTTGAGAACTTATAAATATGGCGGCAAAGAATTCTTGCATTGTTTTGTGAGAAAATGACACTTTAATAATTTCTTTAATTAAAGTTTTACTTCTACTTTCTGACAGTATTCCCGAGAGAAGACTTAATTTCATGTCGGCTGCTTTGAGATATATATCAGCAACATTTCTATCAAATACCAGCATATTTTCTCTTGTTTCATTCAATAATGTTTGGTAAGCTAGTTCTGCTAATGATGTTATAAGACTGTAAAACTTTTTAAAAGATTCATGACTTTTGAAGTAACCTGGAATTTCACTGGCAGACGATTCACGAGATGGTTGAACTCCCGGGTGTTTCTTTGACGTTCTTGATAACAGAAATTCAATGATATTGGTGTAAATTTCATGTTTTGAATTTCCTATAGGAATGTTGTTGCACCATAGGCAAACTATATACATGAGGAGGAGTGGAATCACTTGCATGTGCTCTAGGCGACGGTCACGTATCACTTTATTAAAGTCACATATTTTACTTTCCAGTACTCTATCATCACGGACACCGGTCATTTTTCTTATAGCATTTTCTTCTAGTTGCCACGTAGAATATTCACTTAATTGAACCAATTCTACTTTTTTGTTTATTTGACTTGTTTTGAGATCTGCAACTCCAAGCTTCCACGGTCGAGTTGTCGTTAGAATAACACAATTATCACGTACGTATCGATGTGGGATTTTTTCTGTTACTTCGCTACAGCTATTATCAGGGTGAGTCCATTCATCAAGACCGTCCAATATAATCAAGCATTTTTCTCTACGTAAAACGTCATCTAGTATTGCAGAAGTAGGAAGTTTCCTCGTAATTTGCTGTTCAATCATATCGTCAATTTTACAAACAGAGGTACAGTCTCTTAATAAAACCAAAAATAAGAACTTGAAGTCTAATAACGTCTTTAACTCGTCGTCTTTAAAACAGGCGTAGTTTTCATCGTGGCAATGAGCTTGACACCACGTGATTGCAAGATATTTTGAGAAAGCAGTTTTACCAAAACCTGCATCAGCTGATAGATAAATTTCTTGTTGATCTTGACTTCCGGTTGAAAACAGGTTCCTCGAAGACTTGATAGGTGTTTTCTCCTCTTCATGACAAGTTAGGGACTTCTGTTTTACGGCGACTATATCTGGAATCACATAGAACCCAGCTAAAGGTGTCTCTACTTCTTCAAGAAGCGGTGAGAGAGGTATTGAACTACACCTTTTTCTGTAGAATTTAATCAGGTCGCATTGAAGTTCTGAAAAGAGAGTAGAAAAAAATGTTAATCAGTGACAATCTTTCTATGTAATATATAAAATGCTGAGGTGTTACTAACTTCAATTTTGCATGGTTAGGAACAAATAATGCAAAATGACAAATAAGAAGTAGATAATTATGTAATATTATATTCAGATGCTATGTTTAAAATTAACAATGCATAATTAAAGCTAAACTTTGTTTTAATAATTGCATAAACTCATATGCAAAACGAAGTATTTCCATCGTTATAATTAACACATTGTATGCTTGAAAATAAGCATTTTCCTTATTCATTCTGAACCCGAAGAATTGATGGGGGAGGGTGTGGACAAGCTAAAGAAGAAAATATTTCTTCTATAGTTCATTGCATGAACACACACACCAATAACGATATATATTTAACATGTTTAAACCGTTTTAAAAATGAAAGCAAATCCTGATCAAATGATATTTTTACATTAAAAATATGAAAACAAATAGTTCACGGAGGGGAAATAAGAAGGTGGAAATTTTTACTCGAAACAGGAAGTAATTCCTTCTGATTTCGGCAAAGCACCTTATAACATGTGATTACATTTATTTGTTTCTGTAATATACATGTAGTTATACTGAGCGTCTTAACGCAATAAGGAGTACCACTAGCTGGTTCAGTTCTACATTTTTGTAAACACTTGGTCATTTCTATTAAAAAATACTTAAAAAAAATAAAGAAAAGAAACTATGACAACAGTTATCCTCTGACCACTGACCACTCGTATACCAGGCAATCACTTAACAGGATGTGATTGTGACTTTTCAAAACATTATTTATATTTTCCATTTTAATTATCTTTAACTACATGGATATAACCGAAGTTGGATCGAATATTCAAATTAATCTTATAAAATGTATTCATATTGACAGGTCAATTAAATCAGACTATAAAAGTATTTCTACCGCGTGATTTTACATGTAATATGTCTGACAACCATGTAAAAATCAAATGATATAAACATACTGGACCCTATGTCAACAGGTTGGCATTTTGCACTTTCGATTTCTTAAACCATATTGTTTACTTTTATATCTAAGAATTAACTTACTTTCGGTAGACTTATACTCGATATTTTGGGAGAAAAAAAACTTAGTCATCAACTCCCAGCATTGAATTGCTATTTACATGGTTACTTACTTGCTAGGTTAGAACAAAATGCCATATGAATAATAGATGATGTGTTTTAAAGTAGGCAAATATTCAATTACCCATTTTAATTGCCAAACACAATCACATCTTCTTGGCCCTTTTCACCACACTTTGGACACAATTGACTATTGTGTCAGAGGGACATTAAAATTACATTATTGAATAATTGTCTACTTTAAAACACATCATCTATCGAGTCACCGTACCTGTGCTCGACCAGCCCATTGCTCGACCAATACTTTTATTTGCGTACGATGTATGCGTAATTTAAGTGGAAAAAAAAGGCTCGGAGATTATGTGTGCTATTAATAACTGACCTGTAAACTCTATAGAACTTGGCAATTTTGCAAACGATAATAAACAGTACAAAATATATGTCTATAATAAAAGTTGCAGTAAAAACTATTTAAAGGACTGAAATAATGATTATTTAGGGCAAATTTGGACAATGCTTTGTTAATTTTCCTTTACTCTTATGTTTTCAATTGAGTTCCATAGGAAAGGCCTCCACAAATCATCAAAACTCGGCTTCCCATACCAGGCAATTGCTATGAACATGTTAACAAATATGGCAGCTGTCCGGACACACCACTGAAAAGGCAGACCAACTGTGTATTACATCATGTATCACACTTTACCTTGTTTGCAGTGATAGAATATGAGAATAAGTAATCCCCCCCCCCTCCAAGTGAAAAACCTCTTTAAAACACTTTATTTGTCAACGCATTTGAAAGGCCCAGCTTTGTAACAAAAATAAGTTTCCGAGTGAAAGAGTTTTTCTGGATTTTATGAAATACTGGTTGAGCATTGGTCCGGTGACTCTAACCTATTTCATGTTTATCCTTCATTATTTGATATTTTACATTTTTCATGGATTATATTAAATGTAAAAATATGAAATGTTAAATAACTTTTTTCAAGGCTAATTATGAAACTCAAGCCATCTGAAGCTCACTCGACTTTGGTTTTTCAGCGTATAACTCAGCTTTCAAATATAAATGAGTGGTAAATATCTAATCAAACCGTTAATAACAAACAGTGGACTATAATTATACATGTATAACATCATAAGTCACCAATAATTAAATAAAACAATAAATTGTCGTCTGCTTTCACTTCCGTGACAAAATAACATATTGTAAAGACATTTTTTAAAACATTCAAAACATAGAATAAATAAATTTTCAGTAAATCAAAATCTTACCATTTCTATCACTATACTAGATCTACTAAAAATTTCGCATAAAAAACAAACAAAAAAGAAAAATGTTAAAAAATGTTCCATCACTGGTGAATATGCACGGACAACTGAAACAAACTTTATATATCTATAGATAGAAATTTATTACTTTTTGACAAGCATAGCCAACCAGGGGAGGAGCCAGGATTTAAGGTAAGACAGTGCATACTATCACGGGGGAGGAACGGTTACACGAAGGATGGAGTTATTATGATAACTTGTCATAATGTTGATTGGAAGGTTGATTGTAAAACATTTATTTTAGGGTATCAAAAAGGTGACCAATGTCAATTTAACATTTTTTGTCTAGAATTAAAAAGATATATATTCTTGTGCAAGAAGAAGGAGATAATACCATCTATACAAGGCCTCGTCTGCAGTTTAAAGCTAGCATCTTCAATAGTTAGTTATACAAAAGTTAAAAAATCTATGTACTCATTAGTTGATATGATAGCAAATAGATAGAACCTTTTTTGAATTAACTACTTATATATTACAGTTTGTGTATATTATATCCAGTTTTATGTGGAAATGAAATACTCTGAGTCCCAAGAGAACATTTATCTTCTGTGTATTGTATGTATTATAAAATAATGTATGAATTGATATAAATTGATAAATTGATTTTATGCCCTTTATATGTTTTTTGTAACATTATAATAAATTGTAAGGTAAAATAGTGGATCCCCGACCCTATTTTACCTATTACGGGAACAATAAACGGAGTTACCTCTTGGGCTTCAAAAACAAAATGAGCCGTGTCATGACAAAACCAACATAATGGGTTTGCGACCAGCATGGATCAAGACCAGCCTGCGCATCCGCGCAGTCTGATCAGGATCCATGCTGTTCGCTTACTAACCCTATTACAAATAGAGAATCTGATAGCGAACAGCATGGATCCTGATCAGACTGCGCGGGTGCGCAGGCTGGTCTGGATCCATGCTGGTTGCAAACCAATTATGTTGGTTTTGTCATGACACGGCTCAAATAACGTCACGCAGTTCATGAAAAACGTAACAGATTTCGTCGGAAAACTTTATTGTATACTGGAGAAACACGTGAAAAATTGAAATATAGTTAAATGGGGAGTTCAAGTGCTAAATTAAACTTTGATTACAAATTTGTATCTTATTTCAGAAAAAAACTTTAAAGTCCATTTGTCATCGCCTCTTGTTTAAAATCTGGTAGCTTTGTGTAAAAATTCCAAATTACTTGCGCACTCGAACGTATTGACCTATTCATTTATGATCTTCTTCGTTGCCATTACCTAATTATAATGGAAAGTTGCAAATGTAATGCCCAGGCTAATAGATTTATACCCGATTTTCCAAATGTCACGGAGTTCTTGCGATAACTCTGAAAATGTCCTAGAGTTCTTATGATAGCTTTTGTCACTGCCAGTGTCTATGTTACGGCACGTTTTACCGTATTTTATTATTTAATAAGTGGTAAATCATTATGAAGCGTAAAGCACGTCGTACGCTTATCGTTTGCACACAAGTTATATAATGTTGGTTTTGGTTGTACTACAGTTCCAGAGATAGTTGTGTGGGTTTTTTTTTCTCTCAATTTATATAACTTTTGCAAACGCATGTTTTGTAGACTGAAAAAGGCTAAATATAGACCATTGACAATTTAACATACAGGATAAAATATGCTTTGAATCAATACTTAAGCATGATGTCTTCATGTACATTATTCCTGGCAGTTTAAGAAGACATTAAGTACCAATATGTTATTGGTCTGCCGAAACAAATTACATGTAAATGGTTTGCAGCAAAATATGAAGTAGTATGCACTAACTTTATCTACATTTAATGAGGTTGGGGTCATCTTCAGGTATTCAACTGAAAGGTATTAATTTTTGCCATATAGACGTAGAAAAAATATGAGAACGATATAACAATTTTAATATTAGATGTGAGTCACCTTAAGGTTCATACCGTTGATCGACCAATGTCCTTTTTTTTATTAAATCCAATTGAGCATGACGTGACGTACAAAGATCTATGTACCTATCTATGTACCTATCTGCCTGATTACCTGCCTACCTACCTGACTACCTACCTGCCTATCTACCTACCTACCTGACTGCCTACCTGCCTAGTCACCTACCTGCCTGCCTAGATACCTGACTTCCTGACTTCCTACTTACCTGCCTGACTACCTACCTGCCTGCCTACCTAACTACCTACGTACCTGACTGCCTACCTGCCTAACTACATGCCTGTTCTGCCTGCTTACCTACCTTACTGCCTACATGCCGGACTACCTACGTATTACCTTACCTGCTTACCTACCTGCCGTACCTACCTGGACTGCCTGCCTGCCTGCCTACTACCTACCTACCTGCTCGGCCACCTAAGCCGCCGTACCGGTGACAGATATCATGCTCCTTCAGCTTAATCTTTATTGGCTTGCAGCCATTTGTTTTGAATAACTTGTTCCGGTAAGGTGGTTTCCTGTTTCCAATTGTTAGTGCATGATTGAACGGGAAACCAGCTGCAATCGTGCCAATCGCAACTTTTCGGCCTTTTCCGTCACTCTTCGGATTAATGATAATAGCCGATG